ATACCAACTTCAACTGACCCCCATGTTGGCCCCCAAACCACTATGTGGAGGCTTTGCCACAGAGGCCTAGGCCATTTTCTTAAGTCCAAGCACATGTACAGCCTCCTCTCAAGCAGGTTTCCTGTTCTGCTCAAGGAAAGTTATTTGTGCCCCATATTGTGAAGAGGAAAGAGGCCTTTGATATTCCGAGAGCTTTACCTCTAAAAATAAGAACTTTGACCTCTGATTTTGGCCATTTAAGAGTTCGCTCTCCTGACTTTTAGGGAATAATTCATGCCTTCTCATACGAGTCTCATAATATTCCCAAGAGAGTTCAACCATGTCATGGAGCTTTCAACCCTGTTTTATAAGAATTTGTTTCTCGAGGCAATTCCAGGGGGAGGAAAGCAATGAAAAATGAGTTCTTTCCCATAACACACTGATTTCTGAGGGTAGTGTTCACCTTGGAAGGACTCTTTGTGAGGGCAGTAGAGCAGCTCACCTCAGGAGCCTGGAGACCTGATGACACACAATACTGACCTCCTCAGACAGCAGATGCAGGACAGGAAGGCTGAGGGCTCTGTCTGATATTCCTCTCTGCCACTACATCCCTTCAGGAACTCCTGAAGATCCGTCTCAGGAAATCCATTCTGTTGGTATTTCTTTAAAAAGTACACAGTATTGTTACCTTATTTAAAGAGCATGAGAACTTGCTCCTTTTGTCAACAAACCAAACCCACCTTTGCGAAAATAAAATTCTCCCACATTGCTAGCTCAGATCCAAGAACTGATATTAACAATGATGAATCAATCTGTCAGTCCCAGAATGCCAAGGCAGGGCCACCATGGAACAGAGAACAATCCAAAGGAAATCTCCAGAACGAAAGCCAGGGTGAGGCAGGGGAGGGGTATGTTGATAAACGAAATAAAGGGAATAGTCAAAAGTCTAAACTTTTAATGCTAATGCAAGACCAGATAAGCCCTCCCCTTCCACTCACTGCCAATGTAGAGTCTGCCCGCGAAGTAATCGGTATTTCCTCTACTTTTATGGAAGATGGTCACTTAGTGGGGCAGAAAGCAGTAGGTTCTTTCAAGCAGACCCAAAGACCCTGAGACCCCACCCTTCACACTTAGTGAGGTCATCTACCATGTCACTAAGGCTTGGTCCACTCACAGGGACACTGCCACATCGAAAACAAGAACCCACAGGACAAAATTGTGTAGCAATTCTCTCTATATGCCCAGCTCTGCTACTAGAGCCAACCACCCATTCCCACATGAAAATGAATCTCCCCACGCACAAAAAAAAAAAAAACTGCTCAGGAGGATTTCCAATGGATTAGCTTCTTCTGAGTTAGTCTGAGAAGGTTCAAGAAGAGGACAACACCCCAAGACACTGATGCAGCACCCTGGCCCTGAAACAGGATTTTCTGAGCACGACTGTCTGCTGTGGAGAGACCACCACCCAAGGCAACAGAGTTTCCTTCAAAATACAAATGAGCTAAATGGACCCAGATGGAAAGGATACAGAACCCTGATTTTCCTTGTTGCTAGGTGACCAGGTGTCGGTCAGAAGAGGTGAGCAAAACTGCTGTGGAAAGCCTGGGTCTCTTTTACGGTTAGCTTCTCGGTGAATTCCTGCCACCTCCAGGGTCCTGCCCCCACTTCCCCTTCTCCCTCTTCCCTGTTTCCCTTGATCCAATGCCATCAGAGAGTGTGCAGGGAGGGGACAAAGTCCCAGGTTGTTGGCTTGAGGTTTTTATTTTCTTCTCCTTTATTAATATGTGCAGTATGTGTGTGTGCACATAGGTTTGAGTGGGCATGTCTGTGCATTGGGAAGATAGGAAGCTAAACAGCTACACAAGCCTTAGCTTTCATAATTTAAAGGAAACCTGCACCTATCATCCAGTGTACAGGTGTGCCAATATCTGGACAGTTGTCATAGTGGTGGTCACCCCTTATCACTGAATCTTACCGCTCAAAGCCTAAGTTCCAGGACCGGCAGGTACTCTGTCATTGCTGAGACCAACAGCCCAACTACGTGATTCACCAAACTCAGCCTGTCTCTTTCCCACCACACCTGCAAGTCAATCCACCCTGATCTGGGTGATAGGCACAGTGTCCTAAATGCATACTTAAAATTAACCTCTAACATCCAACAAGTTTCTTTTCTACAAAACCTCTAATTTTAAGTAAAATGTGGTATTTTTAAGTGAGCAAACATGTAGTATTTTCCCATGTTCTACTCAACACAAAATTTGCAGGGGTTTTTTTTTGGGGGGGGTGCGGGGCAGGAAACATTGATCATTCCTTACCTTAATGGTGTCATAAGAATCTGTAATAAGTGCGATGAAAAGGCTGAGAATCATATATATAAAAAGGCTGATGAAGGAATATAAATAGAGGCGGCTGAACAGCCACACCATGATGCTCTTCTGCTGGATTTGAGCAAAGGTTGCAAACATGTCGTCACCATTGATCAGAGAAAACAGACACTCAGAAACTGTATTCAGGGCCACAAACTGAAGGGGGGAAACCAAAATTAGTTTTGGAGACACAGTATCCAAAAAAGGCAGAGAAACATCTAGTTAGCGTGTTTTGTTGAAGCTGTTGTTGTCATTATTATTATGAGTAACATTCATTTTAAGACATCTGGAATACCACAGGTAGAAAAACGTTAGCCAAAAGTGCCCTCCACACGCCCAAAGACAATCTCTTGACATTTCCCTCAGTGTTTTCCTATGCAGTTGTTATAGATTTGTCATCATATCAGCTAACAATTTCGGATCCTGATTTTTTTTTCTACTTAACTTCATCTTATGGTATTCACATTTAAAGAACATTCATTATACAACAAGACCATTCCTTGAAAATGTCAAATTTAACTATTTCCCTGTCAGTGGACATCCCAATAATGTTTGCTATTATAAAGTACAAAGTAATGAACATTTCTAAGCATAGGTTTTTTTTTCCGGTTATTGGGTCTAAACAATGAACATTTTTAAGGCTACAATGTGCCAGGCTTCTTTCTGAAAGAACTGTAGCAACTATATTCTACAATCAGCAAAGACGGAAGTGCCTGAGACAGTACTGAGTTGAAGAAAATTTTGCTAAGTAAGTGGTTTCACTGTCGCCTCTCCAACCGTGGGGTCCTGGTAATTTTAGCACGTTAAAAACTAAAAATTATCAGGAGTGGGAACATATCGAAGGATGAATGATCATGGCTAATGCCTTCCAGGGGCTCCCAAGCTAACAGTGGACAGGCCACGACCAAGATTTCGTATAGCACTGCGTGGGAGAGCTGGGGTGGGCTGTATAAGAAAAGTGATCCTCAGAACCAGGGCCTGACGACTGAGCAGTTGACCAGTGAGAGGAAAAAGGGAAGGATTGCTCAGTGAATAAGAGGGAAATATAGTGCTGAGCCTACGAAGTGGCTGGAAAGGCGTGTCTGTGCCACGCTGCAAAGGGCTTTGTTTGGTTTTCCACATACTTCAAACTAATACAGGCCATAACCAGAAACTAGTAAAAAATTTCAACCAGAAGAGTGACATGACCGGATGTTTCTAAAGGGTTACCATGCATATAGAATGGAGAAAGCCCAGGGCAGGGATGCCCAGGAGGGGTGAGTGCAGGAGCCCAGGTTTTCAAGGAGTCCAGGTGAGACTGGAAAAGGAGGGAACCGAAGAGAAAATAAGTCTGCTAGGGAAAGGGACTTCTGGTGAACACAGTTTCAGACAAGGTGGGTTTGAGGTGCCAGGTAGATATGCTGACATGAGGTAGAATACCACTGGAATCCTGCAGCCAGCCATCCTGACCTAAGTGGTTGACAAACTCCTGCCACATCGACTAAAAAATAAATAGCAGGTGCTTAATAAACTAACATCTCTAGAGCCAAAGGGTTAACACTAGATTAATGTGAAAAGCTCCTAACTAAGGAACAATACTGACCTGATAGGCAAAAGATGATACGGTTTTCAGAAACACGGAACAAGCGACTATAGAGTTTTGACCCAAATTCTGTCATTAGCGGTGGGGGCCATATGTCCATTAAGTCATTGTGGCTTTGGGGACAGCTAAGTCCCTGATGAATGTCTGTCTATGGGACATCACCACTTGGAAGCTGTGGTACTGCTTCACATGCAACAAAACTTCCTACTATCTTTACCCGGAAAATGGCTTTCCTTCCAAATTTCCCTATTTCTCTCAGTGATTTCAGTCTCCTACCAAAGAAACATTTACTCCAAAATAATCAAGTACTTAAGACTGTGTGTTGAATTAATTAATCTCCCCCTCTCTTCAATCTTCTAAGGTGTATCTGCTCCTCTGATGTTTCTCTGACCCAGTCAGATGCCAACATATTAGATGCCAACACTTATATCAAGGTTACTATAGAAATCTCCAAGGAAGCCTTCTTCACTCCAACCTCTTCATCTTCCAGTTCAAGCTGGAGTAAAGTCTAAACTTCACATAATAGAGCCTTCTGGTCATTTCTCTTGCTTGAGAATATACAAAGTTGGATGCAAAGCAAAAATCCAAACCAAGAAGACTGGGAGAAGTTCGTCCTTCACGTGGCCTCCTTCCGTCTCCTCATTGTCAATATTACCTCGTGCTTTTCTCCTTTCACAGCACCAGACCTATCTCTCCATCTTTTCCTCACGAAGTTTGTTCTTTTCTTCTGTGTCCAACTAAGCCAATGTTGAAGGACTAGTTCAAACTCTACCTCAAGACAGACTGCCTTGGCAGCAGCACCAGTCCCTTCCCCATATCAGTAAGAAGCACAGTGTAAGCTACCGGTTTGTCTTCTAACTGGTCTTGAACACACTTCTCCATTCCCCAATTGGACAGCAAACACCATGTCTGTCCCTCCCTGCTCCATTTGTAACCAAGGCAGAGGACACAAACATACTCCAGACAGGGACCATGCCCACCTTTACTGCATCAGCAAAAACTCCAAAGAACTAAAGTTGCTCCCTAGAGACCTGGTGAGGACATCCAGTTGAGCAAATCACAAGAGTATGCAGATTACTTAACAGAAAAACAGGCAGTTCTCAGCACAAATATTTTCCGTTCCCACTGTTAGCCTTCAGACAATGAAGTGAAAGCTAGTTTCCAGGGACATCAATTACAACTCTGACAGCACTACTCAAATTTCATATTTCTCATAATTTCTTTTGGAATCTGGCCAATTCCTTTCTTTAAGTTCAAGAAGCCCTAACAGTCTGTGTCTCAGGTTTCAGAACCACAAATAGCCCATTTGTCAGTACTTTCCTCCATTTGTCAGTATTCATTCCTCAGTTTTCTATGCAGTGGCTTAGTATCAGTCTAGACACAATACCTGTCTCAACATTAACGTTCTTCGCAACCATTATACCTCCCTCTCCTCTACGCAGGTGAGATTTAGTTTAACCCACCAAAAACTTAAAACAGAGACCTGATAAAGGTAAATAACTGGTACATACCCTGTCATTTTTTACCACAGAAGCAGCTGTGAACCAGAGTCAGTGTCCGTGGCCAAAATCCATGGTGGAAGTAAACATTAAAAGTAGCCAGGGTAAGGAGAATAAAGCCCTAACGTGCTTTCAGTCTAGAAGGACTGCACTCATAGGGACTCTCTTTCTTGTTCATTCAACAAACTTGTTGGGTGTCTACCATGTTCTGTGCACCATGTTGAATGTGGGTAATGCAAAGAGCAATAAGCCACAGTCATGGCCCTCCAAGAACTCAGTCTTGAAGAACCTGACAATGCTTGGTGCACAGTAGGCACTGAATAAATATTAAATGGGCATTTCCACTAAGAGCCTCCATCAATTCTATGGGGCCACAGTCAGAACCCAAGCATTTGTTCCACACGTGAAAGAACTTTCATTTGAATGAAAACGAAGCCTGCGATGTCTTATGTCAGAGAATGACATAAATATTTTGCTTTAAGAGCTGGTGCTAAGAACCTCATGCAACATTTGGGCACAATGTTTTAACTGGCTAACCGTCCTTTTGAATAAGAGAGGTGCTTGGCTCAAACTAGAGGCCGTGCAAACATGAAGACATAGTACTAGTTCTGCCAAACTTGTACCCATGTCAGCAAAGACCAACAATTTTTCAATGCCTTCGTCTTCTCACTTGTAAAATGGGGACAAGGCAAGACCATAACTTAGTCCTCACAGCAAAAATGCCCTCTGGAAACGTAAAAGCCCACATTAGAGTAATGCTCTTCCAAAACTCATCTTGAATTATTAAACATCAACGGTCTCTAGCCTTCTGTGTCCAGACATTTTGAAAGGGTGCTGTGCCAAAGTCCATTAGTGCTAGAATCAGCACCGGCAGGACACTTCTCATATCTTTATTTTCTTTCAGTTGAACCACTGAAATCCAAGATCTCTCAGGAAAACAGGAAGCTAAAATGTACTCCTGTTGCCAAACAGCAGGGCCAAACTCTAGTTTTCCTGATAGCTTTTCTTTAGAGTGGTTTGTTTGTTTGTTTGTTTGTTTAAAGAAAGAGTTAGCATGCACACCCAAGGTTGCTATGATTCTACACCCTAGAAAATGCTTGCTGGGTTCCCCAGCTTTTGAAGGCTTCAGGTAATACTGATTCAACAGTTACCAGCAGAACCTGACCATTTTGACAGTTTGGATTAATTTGAAGGGAGGAGTGCAAGGGGAAATAAACATTTCTAACTTCAGATTCAAAGGAGAAGCAATCTGGAGAAGAAACGCACTTTTTGTCTTTTCTCCCTCCACTGATGAGTGTATTCACTGAATTAATTTACCCATGCATTTCCCCAGTTTATCAGCTTGGCTAGAGATGGGAGATAGATTCCATAAACAGACCTGCTTACAAAGCTCTAGAGACAGCCCTTTTATCCCTGTGCTACTCTGGGGGAGAAGTGGAAGGCCGACATGGAGTTAGAAACACAAGACAAGAGGAACAACATCCAATACGGTAGCCACAGTCACATGTGACTACTGAGCACCTGATATATAGCTAGTCCAAACTGAGATGTGCTGTCAGGATAAAATATATACCAGATTTGAAAACATAGTACAAAAAAAAAAAAACCCCCAAAAAAACGGGGGGGGTGTGAATGTAAAATATCTGTGTTTTATAGTGAGTACATGCTGAAGTCATAAGTAATATTTGGATATACTAGGTTAAATAAAATATATATAATTAAAATCAATTTTATCCGTTTTGGGTTTTTTTTTAATTTTTTGAGTGTGGCTACTAGAAAATTTTAAAGTCTACATGTGGCTCTCATTTGTATCTCTCGTTATATTTTTATTGGGTCATGCTGGTTGAGAGCATCCCAATCTCACCTGAATCCTTTAAGAGGACAGAATTGAATGTATGAAAGTGCAGTCAGATCACAAAGCAAATAGCATCACTTCCCACACGGTGACCCTGACACAGTTGAGAGAAATAAGACTGATTGTGTGGCTCTCTTCTCATAGTTCATCTAGTCTTGGGTCAAACTAATGTCCTTTTGTAGTCTGTGTTAGACAGTACCAAGAAAAGCCCTACTGGGTATTGGTCAAAGCATGTGTATTGGGGTCAGGAGGACCTGGGTGTGAGTCCTATCTTTGCCATTTGCTAGCTGTGTAGCTTCAGGAAAATTATCTAACATATTAAGATCTGTTTTCTGTAAAAAGATAGTATTTCCCCATCGGATGACTGGGAGGGTTAACTAGCAAGAGACTTAAAGAACTTGGGCACCGTATCTATCTAGCACATAACAGTCGAGAGTGGCAGCTATATTAGTAAAATTCAAGCAACATTATCTGAGCACCTTCCAGAACAACGATGGGGTAGGGGAGATGAAGGGAAATGGAGATAGGACCACTTGTCTTGGAGCCTTGGAGCCAGTGAATTAAAGCTGAAATCCTTAAACTCGATATTTATTCTACACAGTGCAACACTGCCCTCTAGTGACAAAAGTTTGGAGAAGCATGCAGCGCGTGAGGCGAGTAAAGAAGAAAAATGTAAATTTCCCTGGGCACTGACAGTGAGTTCTCCAGATCAGAGAGATCATAACAAAGAACAATTTTTACTCATGAGTCACCTTTAAAGCAGTGGCATGGAATTGGAAAAGCAATAAGATTATCAAGATTTACTCTTAACCCAGAGAGTGTCACTTTGTTAATCATACAGTTTCTCAAACAGGAAAACAGTAATTCTCTTTGGACATATTAAATGTAACACTTAAAGAGGAGAAAGCCAAATTAGTAGGGTATATTTCAGTAGGACAACACAGAAAGTTTGAGCTTTGTGGGTTGATTGCTTACTTTTTGTGAACTGTTTAAAAACCAGATTTGGTTACGGGTATCAAGGCCAAAACTTAAGGCTGAGCTGTTAGACCAAGCCTCATGTAATCCTCTGCATGTTTACCTCGTTTCTTCTTGCAAAGCACCTAAGCCAAGATAACAGTACCCTGGGCTGTTGTGGAGATTAAACGGCATGACAGAAAGGCTTAGCACAGTGCCTAACACACAGTGTTGGCTGCTGTTAAGTTTATTTTTTGTTGTTTCGGTTGTCCCAATGGCCAGAGGCCCATGGGAGAAAAAAACTACAAGATGCAATAACTCCTTTTACTTTTTTGGTTTGAAAACAAGGCCTACCTTGTTTTCATTTCCTGATATTTCTACCAATCAACGTTATCATTTTAAAACAAGAACATCGCAGCATAACTTTGATGACCCTGAGATTATGATGCTGACTGAAGCCCAGTAATAATTTAGAATCCAGATACTGATCTTTAATAAGGTGCAAAAATGGTGCTGTCATCGAAACCACCTATAAAGACAAGATGTGTTATCGTTTTAATCATAAACCTAATATGGTCTTTTCTGGGCACTCTCCTCAATTAATTTGGATGAAAACCCTAATACTTTAAGTTAGAAAGATTTTGTAATACTTTTCCTCATTGAATTTTCATTTTTATTAAACTTATCTCATGTCCAAACATTTTTTATTTGATGATGAGCTGGGTTAATAGTTGTCCCCGTAAGCGAGTCCCAGACAACTATGAAACACGCTCTCTAGTCTCTTGCAGTAGTTTCAATATCCTGAAAAGGAGAAGGAAACCGATGCAAAGATAAGGACGGGCTTATCGGCGTCATAGGCACGTGCTGGAGGAAAGTGGAAAGAAGGACAGTGCTGGAAACCCACTTCGAAGGGTCTCAAACGCCTACTTTGCAGAAGGAAGCGTCAGGGCCACACACCTTGTTATGATATGGTCCTAAGACAATCCAGCCACAGAAGGTGTAGCCCAGGTAGATCATCCCAGCACAGGCGCAGAAGCGAAGAACTTTGGGCAGTGAGGCTTGCATTGTTAAAATGAGCACCTGGAAAAGGTAACGGAAGAGGGGAAATTAAAATGGAGCTTACTAGAACCCAAAGAAGAAGTGAATTTCCATCGCAGTGCCACCAGCCAATGCCATATCCTTACATTATATTTTTGGAAGTAACCCAGGTATCTGATAACTCCAACCCAGACAAGGAGAGTAGAGGTCCCGAGCAAAATGCTGCACAGATCGTAATTTGTGAGATTCTAAGGAATGAAAAAACAGACATATGAGTACAATCCTCTGCTCCTCTCGGCTTACTAACCTCACTTAAGTTGATTGGGAAAGGATGGACTGCCTGCCTCTCTACAGGTGATACAAGAATTTATAAACTGAAGGAGAAAACGAATCAGCAGACTTCCAAATGGGGTCCTCATTTCCTTTCGGTGTTTCAATTGGTTGAGCTGATTTTTGTTGTCGTTGCTCAAATAATATCCTGAAATAGAAAATGCACTTACCACTGACCGAGGCCTTCAAGAATACAAACCAATGGTGTTGATTAAACATGAAACGATACCATTCAGCTACTTCTGAAAGAATGCTCAAACATGATTTGTTCACACAGTCCCTGCTCTCAAGGATTTCTAAGTCTAATTGAGCAGACAAACACACAAACACGATTCCACTGTAATATGCTAAGTGCGATGAGAGACACCGCGCCTGGCTTATCACACAGGGCTTCCCATGCGCGGAGCTGGGTCTGGCGCGCAGGCTGGGCAAGCGCACGGCAGACGAAGGCTGAACAAACCTGAGAGCGGGCAAGATGTCCTAGAGGAGTATCGGTGTGTCAGTGGGAGCTACGATGGGAGAGGGAGGCAGAGCTAGATGACAAGGACCCTGGAGGCCACTTCACCTAAAGGGGATCCCGTAAGGCAGAAGGGATTGTAACAGCAAGATAGATGCTTCCAGAAACATTCCCCTGACAGCTGTGTGGATGGAGCTGAGGGGTATAAGCCTGGAGGCAGGACAAGCAACGAGGAGGCTGCTGCAGCAATCCATGCCAGAGAGGAAGTCGGCCTGAAGAAGCCAGAGTCAGTCGAGATGGACAAGAAGGAGGTACTTTAGGGTCAGGAGGTCAAACTGGTGAGATGTCCTGACTGACAGCATCGCATGGAGGGGAGGACAGCTGGGTGGAGGAGGAGTCAAGACTTTGTCCTGAGATTAAGTCAACTAAGTTATACATAGTGTCAGACACCTCGTAGACACTCAAATATTCCTGCCCTCACTCCCATCTGTCAAGAGCACCCATTGGTCATGGATGGTCACCACCGGCTCTTGACATGATTGGTTCATGGGTCTGCGGCTGCTTTTTGCAACTTAAAAAAATTAAGCCCATCCAAACAACCAATCTTCTCAAACTTCAGTTCCTACTCTGAAGATGCTGTCAAGTTTCCTGGGGATATTTACAGGAATATCATCTTCCATAGAACATCAGCTTGCTTATTTTCCCTTCATGAGGAATCAAGTCAGAGGAAGCTTGAATTTTATGGGTGTGAGAAAAAGGAAAACATGAGAATCACACTAGTTTCCACAAGGATTTTCTACCTTAAAGTATGTGAAGTCATCCAGAGAGATAGAAAGAACAACAGATTTCAAAGGGGTTGCCCCTCACCTTGACTTTAATTTCCATTTTCAATATGGATCCAATTATTGTCATTAGGTCGCTGATAATCACCAGGACATACCATCCGTTGATGAACTCCCACTGGTCGGCATCACACACGCGTCGCTTGTACTTCTCCAGGAAGAAATTCAGGAATCTCTGTGGCAAACAGTTTAAAGAGCATTTCTTATAAACCACACTGCCCCCTGGAAGAAGACAAGTGCAAAACTGGGCTCTCCTGTAAAATGATATGGCGTTACCTTTTCCAATTCAAGAGATCCCCTTCAGGGCTGGAGATTATGGCCTACACTTTCCCCCTAATCTACCCGAGCTAGAAGTAAGTATTCAAGTGCTTGCCAAGCAGACTCAAACATTAAATGCTTATGTTCTAACTCCAACATACTCTCGTTGTAAGAGCTAACATATAGTACATTCCAAATACTTTACATACGAGCATTATCAACTCATTCAACCAGACAACATCCTATGACCTGGGCACTATTAGCCGCATCTTCCAGAGGAAGAAACTGAGGCACAAAGAGGCTAAGCCAGGATTTGAGTCTAGGCGTTCCAGCTCCAGAGCGTGTGCTCCCAATGTCCCCACCCGCTTGGCAGAACCAGGACCCTGATCTTGGATCAGAGTATCAAGGGACTTGGGGACAGGGGGAGAGGCAGTAAGAGAAGTGGGTATTTACAAAATAAGCTGACAAAGGTCAAGAAAAAGAGAATGTAGACTATTCCCTCGCTCCACAAATGGGGTTCTGATGACTTCATACACCTGACCCCAGCCTGCATTTACACATATGTCACCCGCCAGTGTAAGGTCTGCGGGGAGCTGGAGTACATATTCACAAGAGCCCTGACAGTAAAAAGGTAACCTGAAACTCAGAGAAGAAGTTTAAAACTATTTTAAAAATACAATAAAGTATTTTATGATTCATTATAACCCATTTACACTGCCTCCCTGTCAAAATGAACTCTGATTTGAAGACAAAAGATGAAACCCACACACGCTATATTCTGTTCTTAAGATCCCCGCTGAAATTACAAGGGTCTCATTTATTCTAGAAACAGTCAGAAGCTTGAGAGCTCACCATTGTGTATCTGTGCTTATTGGCTCAGTTTAAAGCAGGATAATGATCTGATCCCACCTGACACGCCAGGAGTTTTTACTCACCTTCCACACCTCGGGCTGATTAATGTCTGGTAGGGGGGCAATCGCTCAACAGTATCTAATTATTCAAGGGCTCAGAAAGGACAAGCTGACCCAACATCAGGGTCCACTGTTTGGACAAACCCAGGGAGGGGCCAGAAGGGGAGGGAGAAAATTCAAACACCCACTTACCTTTCGTAAACTCAGAGCGAGTACAATGGATCTTGTGCACAGGATAAGAGACGCCAAGCAAATCACAATGACAAATGCATCAAACACCAGGACATACTGAGTATTTTTCTGGACTGAGGAACAAAAGCAGGTTTCACATGTTAGACACATCTTACTTGGGAATAATTTCCAAACGAGATGGCAGTCAAAAAAGGAGTTCAAATGATAAATTCATGAACGTCAGAAACAAATTGCAAGGCACTCATTCAGAAGTCCACAAATAAAGTAAATCATCCCCTGATGTTAAGTGTTATACATTTAAAAACATATGAACTCTTAATAGATGTACTAACAATGAACTCTTAATAGATGTACTAACATGTGTTTATAAATATTTACTATAGAAGAGAATTCAACAGACGGTGGTCCATTTGGGCTCCATTCAAAAGAGGCAAAACTACTGATATACTGAGTTCTTTCACATGAAAGTACAAACATCAAGTTCTCTGTGAAGGAGGAAACAATTTAAAATGCCACCGACTCGGAATCCCCATTTCTGCTTCCCAACCTTACAGTGCGCTGTACCAGCAAAGGGTGCCAATTCAGTAAGCTCTTTTTGCACATGGAGAATTGGAATGGAAGTAAGGAGAGGGGTAATCCGATTTTTGTCTTGGAACACAGTAGCAGTAGCACAGGGAATGAACTGGAGGGAGATGAAGCTGGAACTTTAGCTTCTCTCCAACTTCATGGTATTGTCCCAAATCCCAACCATGGCTCTCCCTTGCTCAGCCCCCTGCCCTCCCCTGCAGTCTCATCACCTGCCAATCACTGTTCTCCCCCCCACCTTCTCTACCCTGAGCCACACTGGTCTTCCTCCTTCCCTGATCCTACCAGGTTCTCTCTCTCTCTCTCTCCTCTCTCTCTCTCTCTCTCTCTCTCTCTCTCTCTCTCTCTCTCTCTCTCTCTCCCCCCCCCCTGCTCAGGGACTTTGCATATGCTGATCCCTCTGCCTGGAACAGCATGCTCCCCATCACATAAGTTGAGATTATTCTTTTTCAGCCTCGGGTTTCAGATTGTATACCTTCCTCTCAAACAGAGTTCCCTAAATCTCCATCTTTATTAGCCCCTCCCCCAATACACTTTCATAGCCCTTTCCACAAGGGTACACATCTATAGCTTCTTTTAACTCTCCTTTGCTTGATGACTACTGTATTTGTAACTAGGTCTTCAAAGACAGCACAACACGAAGCACAGAGACAGTGTAAAACAGGAAAAGGACATGGCCTCTGGGGCCTGAAAAGCTGAGTCTGATCTCGGCTCTGCACTCAGAGCTGAGCATCCTTGGGGATGCTGCCTCAATTTCCTCATCTGAAAAATGGGTAGAATAAAAAATACCTACATCCTAGGGCTGTTGTTAGGATTAAGCAAGCTCATATATGAAAGCACTTGGAACAACCCCAGGTAAATAACAATAGCAAACCCTTATAGTGGTTACAGTGGTATCATTCGATGTCCGTCTTCCCCACTAAATGGGAAGCAGGGACCGTATGTATTTTGTCAACACTGCACTGCCTGTGCTTGGCACACTTCACTATGCTTACAAACGAATGCAGAGACTCCGGGGAACATGAAAAGACCACTGAATAATCTACGTCAGAACTTGTGAAAGTCCAAGCTAAGTTTGAGGCAGAAAGGCACAGAAGAAAGGGCACAACAAAGTGGCGAGAGATGAAGAGAGAATCAACTTGGTCTCCAATGGGACCCAGAGAATAAGGAAGAAAGACCGACCAGGAATGACTCCCGGTTTTCTTGGGGAAACTGAGCTCAGTTCATGACGAGAGAGGTGGCAGCTGAAGCCATGAGTATGGACCCAGTCACTCAGAGAGACCACAGAGAGAAATGTGGACTAGGAAGAGGGGGCAGTTGCATGGGAGAATTAAAAAAAGAAATGAGCTCAGGAACAAGACAAAGGCCAGAGGAGAAGCGAGCAGGACTGGGGACAGGTACCCTTCAGAGGGGTCTAGAGTCAGAGTGCTCCCCAGCGACCTCTCTGCAGGGAAGGCGTTGAAGAGAAAGCCTGCAGTGTTCACAGACTTACTGATAACAGAGACATGAGTGACAGTGGCATGAGTGTCTGTGGGCAAAGTTGCCCAGCCAGTGGGTTATGACCACAGCCAGTGATAAGTGTAATTCTCTGAGCCAATTCTTTAGCATTGTTAAGGTTCAGATGCCTAAGCTACAAAACGCAGGAGTAACTGTACCTGCTTTACGGGCTGTCACGAAACCAGGTGAAACAACCCATGTCAAGTGCTTGTTAGAACCATGCCTAGCACCTGGCACTTACAATTACCTTCAGCCATTGTATCCGTAACTTAAAGTTACTTCAAGATATCAATCACCTAGTGGGTAGGTAAAAAAACAACTTAACTAGACCAGAACCCAAGACCATTGGGGTGGAGTGGGGGGAAGGGACCATGGATTGGGGTAGAGGGGCAGTTCTTGGGAAAATGGGACTGAAAATCTTATGAAATGCAAGGATAGCATCTACTACTTTCCTTTCTGACATATAACTAGAACAAAATCTCTAAGATTGCTTGTAGTGGGGAAAACTGCAGCCCGAGATCTAGAAAGATAAACTGTCCCTCCTAATAGAGAAATCAGTATTGTAGTCTGTTTTAATTTGACTTATTGAGAAGACTAATTTGATGGGCTACAAAAGACATTTTATTAACATCATAATTGCTTTCTTACTCTATTGAAACTATTAATATGTTATTCTCATGGAAACAGGCCCAAAACCTGGGTTTGTAAACACTAGTACAGAGAAATGCCCCTGCCAACCTGGTAGGGAAGCCCCTTACCCCACCCAGTCCTTCCAGGGGCCCTGAGAAGTCCCCACACACCACCACTGCCCATGTGACTCAAACCAGCACTTCCTACACTTACTAAACTCCCTTTCCCTGTGATCACCTATCAATGAGCGGTCCTGCCCACCAATACCTCCCCCAGCCCCTCATACCCAAATTGCTCCTTTCATAAAAGCAAGTTAAAGATTAGTGGCACGCTTGGGGATGAGTATTAGAAGTCATAAAAAGCAACATGCAGTTTCTATGTGAAAATGGACATTTCTTCATATTTTGCCTTCAGATAACATAGGTAATGATGCGAGGAAAAAAAGAAGCCTCAGGTTAAGTACAGAGGGGGCCAAAAAAAAAAGGTATACTCGTTTTAAGAAAGGAAGGCTGTATTAAAATTGTAATACTCAATATATACTGATAACAAAAGATGAATACAAGTCACGTTTGACTTCTGCAATTACAAGAGGTGCTCAAAGTGGTTACCATCAGCATCCAGACACTTCTGATTACAGCGAACTACTGCTTGGGCAACGTTGACCAAAGTGTCCACTTGTATACATTTTTTTGGCACCCCCGCTATATGGATGTGAATGAACGTCAGGACATTTTGGAAATAGCGCAAGGATCCCACCAGATGTCACCCTTGCCCTTGTCCCACTTTCGGTCTCTGCATTTCCCCAAATCCACTGCTATCAATGCACCTGACAGCTCTAGAGACACAGTGGGGAAACCTGCATTTCCCAAGCTAGTTTCCAAACTTCAGCTTTCTAAGGCTTTCAAGTCACACCATTTTATTTTAAATCCGTATTTTCCTGTGTGACAGAATCTGATTTCTTAGGGGGCAGCTCTAGGAGCGTATAAAAATATTAGTGTTTCTCCTCGCTGGCCACAGGAGGGAGCCAGCGCTCCTTTCTTCTTAGTACAGCCAAGGAAACTCTTGCAGTGTTCTAATCTAAGAAGCCCTGCGAGGAGGAGGAAGGAAACCCACTTCCCCCAACATGCTTGACCAACTCGTTCGGTCATAATTTTTCCAAACCATATTTCACATGCGACAAAGGTACGCTTTTTTCACATAAGATAACTGCAACTTATACTTGGGCTTGGAAAAATAGGCATCTGATCTGTGCATTTCTGTGGGAAAGAGGATGTCTGCGGAGGAACAGTAACCACTTTTCACAAAACTAAACCTATCTATTCTGATCAGAGGTTTAAGTTAGTTACTGGAACTCTGAAACCAAAACTTCAAAGTCATGAGGACATGTAGAATTGAAAAGCAACAGGCCACAAACTGAATCAAGTTTTGAACTAACCTAAAATATTGGGTTGTCAGAGAAAAGTCACGATGCATTTTTACAACGAAAAGCATAGAAAAATACATCATGACTTTTCCGACAACCCAATAGTTAGGAACAACAGGTGTTTTACATTTTATTTTGTTCTAATAATCTGGTCAAAGACAAATTCAGTTAAACAAAACTTACAAATTAAAAAATACTGGGGGGGGTGACTGGTTAGCTCAGTTGATTAGAGCACAGTGCTGATAACACCAAGGTTGCTGGTTCAATGCCCGCATGGGCCACTGTGAGCTGTGCCCTCCCTAAAAGAGCCAACTATGCCATTGCAGCATGAAAGCAACGTGTAACCAATGGTGGCTATGGCTGTTCCTCAATAAAATTTAATAACAAAACCAAAACTGACCGCCATCATTCATCCCAAGCCCTCAGGGAGAATGGGTTCTGTGTAGCCCAGTTTAAACTGTTGGTTAAGGGATGTTTTCTGAGTCGTGACTAATTTAAATGACCCAGTGTGCTCTCTGGGCTCTGAGGGCCTTGATCCCTCTGCATTGTCAAAGGCTCAGATCAAAGCATACCTTCTCCAAGAATCATTGCTAGAATTGATTTCTCACTCTACCTAGTCAGAATTAACCTTTGCGTTCTTTACTCTCGGGCCTGTTGTACTGCTACCACTTATGCCAATCCATGACACATTAGAGATTTTATAAGCTTGTTCATCTCCATCACAAAGGCATTTTCTTTCTTTTCCCAGAGTGCCTAGCAATGATGATGTTCCAACTCTTGTCCTCAGTGCTTTGCTTTATGTGCTAACTCACTGAATACACAACCTCCTGGAAGGTAAGTACTGTGTTGTTGGAAAAGTCATGATGTATTTTTTCTATGTTTTTCGCTGCAAAAATGTGTCATGGCTTTTCCAACAACCCAATATATTATTGCCCTCATTTTGCAGAAAAAGATACTGAAACACAGAGAGGTTAAGTAATTTGTCCAAGGTCACAGGCAGAGCAAACAGAACCAAGGCCCAAACCCAGGCATTTTGGCTGCAAAGACTGTGCCCCTAATCTGTGGCCCATGCTGCCTCGCCTAAGAGGTATATAATCAACATTTGCTGAATTGAATCAAAACGCAAGGTTTAGGGAAATGCTTTGCAGAATCTAATGCTCAAGATGTGGTTCTCTGGAGCCCTTTCCTCCTATCACCATCCAAATAAACCATTTCAACACCCCAAGCCCCCAAATAAAATGCTGAAAATCATCCATAATCCACAATGGGCAAGCATATAACAGACTTACCAGATCCAGATATGTTCACCTCTTTACATTCTTCAATGTGAGCATCGCTGTCAAGATAGATTTTGATTTTGCCACTGTGAGCTTTATTGTCAAAGATAATCTGGAGGCACAAATGTATAGAGAGAAGTATGACCCGTTAGATCAGCTCTGCTTAAAATATCAATGGCATCCAAACAGCGTGTTGATCCAAAAACTATACTGAGAAAAATGTCCTCATCCCATGATTCCTTCACACCCTTTCATTATTAATGAAAATACGTGGTCCAAAGGGTGAATATATGAAGTTCTACTGAATTTACATGTGGGTTCAGATGAAACCTAAAGCATAAAGCCAACGAGTCCCAGGAACAAAAAATGAGATTCACCAACCTTTGACATGAGAACACAATGACCTCATTTATTACCCTGAATGGAATTTAAAAGTATTGGCTTCAGCTTAGTCCTTTGGATGTGAAATTCTAGGTCTTCAATAGCCTGGAGATGATTTTTCTGTTTGCCTTAAGTGGCATGCTTTCGGAAGTGACAAAAATTGCTCCAAGGCTGCAGGCTGAATTTGGTTTCCAATTACCCTCCATCTTCCATATTATGTTTCAAAACTTAAAATTTATAAGTGAAATATGCTGAGTGTTTTAAGCAGC